TTCATTTAATATCATTTCGCTAACGCGAATAATATTCATAAAAGTCAAACAACCTTAAAACTGAAAAGAAGGATAGTAAATGTATAGAATCTGGGTGAACGAGAAATGACAAAGAAGAATCAGGTCTTAATTTCGCGATTCATAAAGATGATACAAGAGCTCATTATCTGACAATGATTCTGTCCTCGCTGTGTGTGTATTCGCACGTTCGTTCAGCGGGCTGAATGCCAGATAGGAGGAAGCTACGAAATTTTTCTTCACCGCGCCATAATTTCGTAGAACCCTAACATCTAACCTAACCGAACCTTAACCGACCGCATCGTTCAACCTACCCCTCCGAGCGTTCGTTCTGAACGCTTGCCAGGACGGTATACGAAGGAACGTAATAGGATCCGATTAGAACATCGTCTGGCACAGGATTTAACGCACCCTCTTTGCAAAAATGCAGATATTTATACATGAATACATGAATCTGTCGTTACCTTCATGATTTTTATATAATTATTTAATAGTTTTATTATTTTATGTATAAATGTAAATTTTAGCCCGTCACGATTATAAAGCACTGTCTTCATAATCGTTTATATAAGTTCAAAAGTATTTTATTATCGATATTGCTTCTATAAAAATTAAAACGAGATCCGGAAAAACTTGAGAATTTAAGGATTGGAGAGGTCGTATTCTAAAAAGAATGACTTAGCGCACTTAAGTTCTGATTAAACGAAGATTAATAAAATGACGATGAAATGTAATTGTTACAATCTCGAAGTCGCTTAGTAAATCTAGTGCGACGATCCGTGCCCGTCGTAATCTACGCGCGAATCACAGACGGCGGTGATGTACGATTGTTATGGTATTATCGCGAGTACAACCATTAGCCGCGGATCAATTGCGTTCGAGTAAGTCCGATCGGTGATTACGAGCTCACGTGGAAACTACGCAATACTCCGGTATGATCCGACGGAATGCCAGTAATTCCCAGGATGCGCGCCTCCATCGTTCCACTCTGCATACTGGCCGAGTGTTCGGATTCGCAAGTCTCTATTTCGTTCCCGTTTCCTACGGATCGATTACTTTCTAGTTTCGCGTTACCTATTCGACGATACACCATCACCGTTATAAGCACGAGAGAATTTTCCTACTTCAGATTTAATCTGTAATCACGAGTAGCTGGAACATCATTTTTGTTATGCTGAATGCAAACATAAAATCCATAGAAAGTTTAATACGTTAGTGATTCGAGGTGCATCTCATTCGATTATAAGAATTTTATCATCATAGTTGCATTAATCTTAGAACCGTAACGAACGACAAAAACCTGAATATATCGAATCTTATTCGCAGTTCATGTTATTTTGTCTAAATAGTTTCAAATTTATGTAGTTTATGCAGGTCCATGCACTACTATAAAGCACGAAGATCAACAATTTCCTGAATCAAAGTGGCGATTAATTATCAATTACGATCTTAATCAATGCGGATACAGGATGTACACCTTGTACATACTAGTAACGATACAGGGAAGTTACAATGACCCGATGTATTTGTATTGAATTACGTCACATCCGTTTCTCGGTTCGGTCTAAACGTAACCGGTGGAGAGCCACTTATAGCGGATACAAGTGCCATTGTGTACGCCGAGTAAATAAGTTCAAAGAAACGGAAGCTGTAGGTTCTACAGCGCTACAGGTCAACGTTACGACCGACGCAGCAAGAAAGGCTATTGTGGGTAACGTCAACAAGCCGTGGCAGCAACCTTGTATATCGCGTGATTCAATTATCGCGCGCCGCCGCCCCGTGGAAGACGCTTTTCATTTTTCCGCAACCCCTGACATCGTTGACTTCAACCTTTCCCAACCGAATGCATGAATCACGCATGAGAAGCGCAAAATGAAAGAACATGAGGAATCTCGCAACCGTAGTATTACCTTAGTTTTCATCGTATCTCTCGTACGATAATATATTTAATTCTGGTCTAAGTGGGGCGTTCTATTTGGAATTTGGAAATACTGTCTAATGTGCTCAGCGCGGATTTAGACAGATATAATCCAATTAAAATGCAATTAAGGATGATTGCGTAAGCATCAAGCTTGGATCTCATCTTCATTTGTTCCAACTGTTTAACGACTTGAGCTATAAAAGGAAAATGCTCGAAGTTTGTAAAAAAATCTTTGTTCCATCTTTGCTGTTAAACCGTTACGAAAAACTTAACACACGTTTC